TATATAAATAATTTTATTGAGTATATAAGGAAAAATTATTTTATTGAATAGGTGGTCAAGTACAAAAGATCATCGGGATTTACTTGATGAATTGGAAGAAATTAGGCTGCTCATTGATCAGAAGGCTGATACAAGGTATGTATTTAAATATTATTATCTACTTTTAATTATCGTTATATAATTAGAATATTATTTTGATAAGAATTATATATGTTGTTTGTTTTAGTTTCAATGGACTCCTTATTATACTGAAGAAATGAGGATTTGTATCCCACATCACTTGAGAGGCCCATTAGATATTTGGATGACGGTAGTCCTCTGATATGTTATTCTATTGTCAAGTGGCATCCTACTGATCGCGTACTCCACCAATTTGGTTTTGTACAATCTATTCCGAAAAGACCTAAAAATCTCGACGATATGCATATCATCGATAGACGGGGTAAAAAAGAAGTCGACTGGCTGCTGAAGCACATTGAGTGGGTAATGTTATGGGAGGATCGACGTGGGCGTATTCCCTGTACGAAACCCATTTATGTGGATCATTACTCGATTGCGGATGATTATTATGAGTGGTTCAACACGAACATGAAACCATTTTTACTTTTTGAGAAAGCACAAGGCAGGAGCATTCATCGGCTTTGACAAAGACGCCCACTATCACAACATCATCGTCCCCCGATTCATGGACGAAGAGCAGACACTTCTGGCGTGTCCTCAGCTGTAGCACCGGAACCATCACAGCAGCCACCGTCTACAGTAATGTACATTCCGCAGTCGTTTTAGATGGCACTTCAGCCTTATCAGATGGCACCGCAACTATTTCATATACCACTGCAGCTGGGTCAGGCGCCACTGCTTCTATACCAAATGTCACCACCGTCATAGAGTTTTATGACCCCTCCTGGTGGATATTATACTTCCATGCTTGTAGATCCAGCTTGGATTCATATGCTGGTTATTTGTTGGGTGAAGGTTCACCACACACACATACACATCTAATGTAGTTTTCGCACTCATCAATGTCAGTGTTTTCGTAGTTTTCGTAGTTTCCACAGTTTTTTGTGAGCGGTGGGATAGTCAGCCATACACCTCTAGGGTTCTTATTCTATGGAGGTGTTACATCGTCATTCGTCCCTCATCAACAAAATGTATCTTCTCTTGATGATAATGATGATGATGAAGATGAAGGTGAGAGTGATGAGGAAGAACAAGTTATACGAATCCTTATAGACACAGACAACCACCACCCTACAGAACACATTCAAGACGCAAACATCGATAGAGTTATTTATTTCGTCATGTTTTTATTTAATTTTTTTTTACCAACAATTGTAAAGTTTTTATTTAATTATGGCCTTTTTATTTATTTGGGTTTTTAATATTTTTATTATTTAATTGTTTGAAATATTTTTATTATTTAGTTGTTTTTATTGTTTGAGTTGTATCGTTTTCTTGTATTTAGTTTGTAATATTTTTATTTAATTTTCACTTGATTAGCCCATTACTTGGTGTTGCTCAAATGACATTAACTAAAAGTAAATGAAAATTAAATAACAAAAAATTAGATTTCATAAACAACAACTACCTCATCACAACATCAACGATTACTTGATGAAAAACGAGATAAACATTTTTCCTATTGTGTCCTAGGTTTTTACAATACCCACATCTTTTGTTTTCTCTGGAAGCCTCCCAAATATCCATATCACAATGAATTCGAGTGGATTTTGGACGACCAAGCTCCCTCAATAAGGACTGATTTGGTACAATCGGAAGCCGATTATGAATCTTATCAGCATCTTTCTCATTACCTATGGGGGGAACTCAAATTCATATATCTTAAACACTTCTGAAAGTCGGTATACGGGTTCCACAAAACGGTTATAGTCTTTACAGGTATGAGAGCAAGCTACAATGACATGGGAGCATGGATACTTCATAGCTTGAAAAAACCCACAGCCACACTATCTGTCTCGTTTATTAACTCTGAACGAGTTAGCTTGAATCATTTGAAGAGGTTGCGACATCTCTGTGTCACAAAGTAATTAACGAGTTCTAAAGAATATTGTTAAAGACATTCCATTTGATGCATCAATTCTTTTTTGTATATCTGTAACTAATCTTGGGTGATAGACATGACTGTTTTACAACCAAGTTTGAGTCTGTCCCCCGATTTTGGAAAAAAAGCGCTCTTAAATGAAAATATATCATTTTAACCAAAGTCGTTACTGGTAAATGGTGTGCCCCCTTTAAGGTTGAATTGATAGCCTCAGCCAAGTTGGTCGTCATGTGTCCATCGATATCCACCATCATATGCATTTTTCATATTTCTTTATTGATGAGGATAATGTAATTGTCATTCATCGTTCTTTCCTAAAAAATATTTAATCATGGACACAAACATTTCAGGTAATAGTTTGTAACCTGAGCATCAAATGTAGAACTTACTATTAAGTTTCCATAAAAAAATGAAAATGACTGAGAAATAAAAAGCAACATTTTGACATATCCATGCGCACAAGTAATTGACGCTCATTATTCTTCTTGAACTTTCCATGATAGTTGCAGCAATGTGTCGGATACAGTATCGATGTTAGACATAGGTTGGTTGCCACATTGGACCCAAAGAATCCATTGCTGCTTTGATCCCAACTCTGCGATATGAAATGACATAGATTTTTTCTCTCGTAATAACATGCAAGCGTAAGTTTCTAAGGAAAAAAGCCCAAGAATATGTATCTTCTCCTTCAACAAGGTAAAAACAACTAGAAGAATGTTGCGATTACCATCTTCGACAACAGCCAATAGTGCTTGTATTTTCCATACAAGAATGTCCCATCAATTTGGACCACGGGCTTGCAGTATTTCACAACATTAATGCACTCTGGGTAAGTCTAAAAAAGTCGGTAGAATTGGCAACGATCGTGAAACACTCGATCTTTGAGGTATGCATGGCAAGTTTTGAAGTAGACAATTGTCCCGGGATTCAATCTGCGCACTACCCTACACCAACTTGGTAGTTCGTTGTAAGATGGATCACCATGAAGTTTTTTAATGACATTTTGGTTTGCCTTCCATGATTTCCTGTATGAGATAATATACCCATATTGCAACTATATAGCTGAAATCAGCACCGCAATAGCTATATGGGAGTTTGCTTTGACTATGGGCATGATGGATTGGCAGATAATGTCAGAGTCCAAGTTGGGATGATCCTGGTTGATCCCTCCAACACAGTATGTGTGAGGACCGCTGTATATAGTTAGTTCTCATATATTATTTTTCCTCTTCCTCTTCGATACACAAACCATCCAATTGCATCCGTTATCACGTTAGAAACAATAGCAGACATACTTTTTGGTGGTGAAATGATCCACTCTGGACTGAACATAATTACAAATGTTGTAGTTATTAATTGTCATCCTCCCTTCTTCTTTGCATGGAAATTCTATTCCTTTATATAACTCACCATCATTGACTGATGAGTTAAATTCGTAGTCACCGACATTAGGCATATCCGCAAATTAGAACTCGTACATTGCACCATAGTCAGCTTCATATATGTGTGCTGAAGGTTCGATGTGTATCGTATTTGTGGGAACTTCATCTATATCATCATCATCATCATCGGAGTCTATGTTGAACTGCGGTAATTCTGGCTGAACAAACAACACGCACTTCAATAAATACCGCATACATCTGTGTATCAACGTATGAATATTGATTTTGAGAATCAACCATTATAACAACATCGTCATCGTTGGAGAGATCGAATATTGTATAAGTTAACAGAAATACTGCGGTTGGAAATCTCTACTGAAGTGAAGACAATCTTCTAGTACTTCCAACATGAACCTTTCTTGAAATTTTAGTTATCAGCTCCTCAAGAGGGATGTTTCTCTTAATATCATATTCTGACAGAATGATTTGATGCGAAGATGACGCCAGTTTCATCTTCCCAAATTTCTCCATCATAGTAAACAATAGCTGAAATACATGTCATTTTGAGAGTTTTAAAGACTGGAGTCTTATATCTGCAAAAGTAATAGTTGAAATACGTCTAAATAAATAAATAATATATGAATTAAAATATAAAATAATCCAAATAATTTTAAAAATTTTCCAAAATAATTTAATAACATAATTTCATATTGTTACTGTATCGACAAAATGTCTCGAGGTATTATCCCACTTTCTAATTTTACAACCACAAAATATTATAAAAAATAATTAGTATAATAAAAATTTATTCAAATAATTAAATATAATATAAATATAATATAATAAAAAATAATTTTACCTTATAAAAAGCAATAACAAAATCTACTTAGCTTGATAGAAGGAATTGATAGAAGCGAGAATAAACAAATAATTTTGGTTTGTGATGTTTGCATTCAGAGGGGTTTTTATTTATAGGGGGAGATGGAGGGTTTTAAAGCAGAGCTTTCAGGCTTGGGTAATTATGGAGTATCAATAATTCAACGTGCATAATGGAAGACGCGGATCATGACGTGTTAGAAACCCTATGAATGTGCTTATCGCTCTCCGCGCCTTTCCTCACGTGGCACCAGCTTGGATAGAATCTTGTGAAGGCACAGATGATGATCCACGCATTTCCTTACGTGGAGTCAGCTCGGACATAATCCCTCAAAGGCACGGATGGCGATCTGCGCTTTATTATCGCCGTGTCAAAATAAGTGTTAGATCGATAATATTAGGAGTGAGGGTGCTTGACAGGTAATTATTGGTGGTATGAGTGATATTTCGGTAAATTCCAATAAATGGAGCAGTTCGTCAGAAAAGAATAATCCGAAGAATGGGCCCGCACCAAAACTAAATACAAAAAGTAAAAAATGACATGAAGCGGTATATAGAATCAGCAAATAAGAGGCAGTTGCAGTCGTTTAAGCCAATGAAAATTCGACAACTCTTTTGACGAAACCACTCTAGTTTTCCCAAAAAAACCACCCATTTCTTTTTACATCCCGCATCTCAGAAGCTGTTTCCATCTTCCTTTTCCAAATATATACACACACATAAGTATAAAAACACTTGCACCAATTCTCATTCCTGCTTTTCCATCCCCAGAGTTTGTCTCAAACGCCTTGGCATCCAGCCCAAAGAGATGATTATAGATACACGTTATAACCTTCTTAAATCTCTTTGAAACCCTCTTTCATTTTCGTTTTTCTTCGAAGCTTTTGAGAAGAAAAGAGAGAGATTATTCGCAATGGGGAGGGGTAGGGTTCAGCTGAAGAGAATTGAAAACAAGATCAACAGGCAAGTCACTTTCTCCAAGAGAAGGTCTGGGTTGTTGAAGAAAGCCCATGAAATCTCTGTTCTCTGCGACGCTGAGGTTGCTTTGATCGTTTTCTCCACCAAAGGGAAGCTCGTTGAATACTCGTCAGATTCCTGGTAACCTTCAATCTTGCTTTCTTGTTTTGCTTTCTTGCGGTTTCTGGAAATCATTATCTTTCCGATTTAGTGAAACTTAACACTATTTTGTTGTTATGTTATAGAGTCAGAGAAATTATAATTTATATATCTGAGATTTATGTGATTATATAAATACAAATTCAATTCGTACAGGTTATACAAGTACAGAAAATGCTTCAAAGTTGACTTGTTTAGGAAAAGTTTGGCACATTTAACAAGAAAATAGTTGAAAAATGAGTTTGTATAGGGCTATGGCACTTGATTGAGGGTATTACCTCACTCTAATATACTTTAATATATGGTTAAATAAAAATTGATTGAGGGTATTACCTCACTCTAATATATTTTAATATACTATTAAATAAAAATGTTAGTGAAAATATTATTAATTTTTTAATGTTTTTAATAAAGTGCTATTTAAAATATTTTTTTATTAAAAATTTAATTTTACTACCCAACTTCTAGTAAAAAATTGATAAAAAAATAATATTTTAAGTAATACTTTATCAAAAATATTAAAAAAACTAATAACATTTTTGATAACGTATTTTATTAATCTAATTAGGTTGCCATACGGGAGAATCTTCTTATTGAACCTCAAAGCATATGGTCATTACATTTTTGGATAAGTTTGGAGGGTTTTTTCGTACCTTTATAAGTATCTGGTCATTATCTATTGGATAAGGTTGATTTTTCCATTTTGTTGGTTTCATAGTCTATGTTTAAAGTTTGCGATTTACATGAGTCATGACATTTTTAAAACTGGGCGTTATTATATTAAAAAAACCTAAAAATATTTATTGAAATAGTACCTAAAACAACATTAATTGAAAAACATATTTCTTAAATTGCACACGTAAAATTATCTCGCGTTCTACAAAACGTGACTCCTCGCGCGCTATAAGGCTCGAGATTCATCCAACGTGAAAACACTTTTCATATAACATAATTTAATATTTCAAAAAAAGACCTCGCGACTTGCGTTTTACGTAACATGAGGTTCTCAAGAATTTGAAATATCGCGTCTTTTGAACGAACCTCACAATTTGCATAACGTGAGGTCCAATCTATTTTATGAATTTAAATTAATTATTATATATTTTAAAGTATATTATAAAATTAAAAAAATAATATTTTAATAAATAGACAAAACTTGTTAAAATTCATTTTAATGTAACATTTTATAAAATAAAGTTGCTTCATGTTTCCAAAAACAAGAATCATAACAAGTACATAAGTTGTTACTTGGTTGTCAAACTTGGTCGATTGAATTACGCGGATAGTTATCATAACAATTGCAGTTGTCCATTAGTTCTAGAAAGGAGGTTGTGACAACTCCACAACATTAAGCTTACAAACACATTGATCTCTGAACAAATAACTTTTAAATTTATTTTCTTAGAATTGGCGAGATCAAGAGCTTTCACAATTCGAAGTCCTTCATCTCTTAGTTCACCCCAGAACAAATTAGAATAATGTCATAGACATATATGACATTGATATTACCTTTATCTGTTACTCTCTTCAAAAAATGCAAACCGTATTCTGAATTTCTTCCACTAAAATAATCATACATGTCTCCTTGTATAACGCTTAGTGATTATTACTAGTTTTGCATCTTTCTTGAAAATTTTTCTCGGTTTAAGTCCAAGGAATAACGTTGATATTCTTCATTGAAACGTTTTCAAAGATGTAATTGTGTTTCGAGGCTTCATGAAAAGTCTTGCAATTCAATTGCGTATTGAGAAAATCGACGATAGAATTAGACACAAGCCATTTTATGAGATTTTGGTGGCCTTAGACGAACTAAAAAATTAGGCACTAATAAGAGGTTTAAATTACAATTTGTATTGTGCCTTCGATCGCGTTGTGTTTATCATTATTGTGAACATAACAAATGATATTGGTCACTGCAAGTATCGTGGTTGTGGATTTTTAATAGCATATACTATTGTGGACAAAATGATTGTTGATATCGCAGTTTTGGACAATGTCGTTACTAATGCATAGCAGTCATTGTTGTGGTTGCATACCGTTATTTAAGTAATTATTCATAATAATAAGTGTTGAAACAAATAAAATTTAAGGGTAGCTTTATAATAATAAGTATTGAAAAAAATGAGTCTCTCATAACAAATTAATTTTTTTTTTAAGAGTATACTTATAATAACAAATATTAAAAAATTGAACATCCAATAAAAAGCACTGAAAAAATTAGATTAATAACAACAAATAAATATTAGAAAAAATTGAATTTTAAAAGTATGCCCCTAATAACAAATATTGAATAAATTGGACACTTGATAATAAATATTAAAAATTAGACCTTTAATAACAAATGTTAGAAAAAATATTGGCAAAAAAGTAGACACTCATAAAATATTAGAAAAAAATTATAAAATAGGCCCTAATAACAAATATTAAAAAATAAGCTCATAATAATAAATATTAAGAAAAAACGAAACCATAATAACAAATATTTCAAATAATTATGGCCCTTATAATACATTATAAAAAATTATGGGCCCAAATATGACACTGATTAGTGTCCACATGCACAAGAATGTTAGATAACACTTCTATTGGGAATAACTACACAATATTACTACATATTTTTTGGTTTTTTTTAAATAAGTTAAAAAAACCTTCCAAATGTGGCCTCTATTTATAATTGTCCTTACACCCTTTTCGAAACAAGGAATTGATGGACCTCATGTTATACATGACGTGAAGTCTATTGAAAAGACGCGACTTTTAATTCAAATGATATCCAACATGTCAGAAAGGACCTCGTATTACACAGGGAAGGCAGGTGGCCACACAATCCACCCAAACCTCCACACAAAATTACAAACTTTTATGCAACATTCAACGTGATGAATGCGACATGTGTCTCTCGCGAACAAAATAAATTTCATGTTTTGGAATATTCGAGGCCATTGGAAGGCATACGACACACCACATACTTGGTTAATCTACGAGAAAGAACACGCTACAGTGGAGTATTCCAAACATTCAAATACTAGTGTAAGCATGTCATTGCTGCTTGTTCTTCTGTACGAATTCACTACATGCAATTCGTTGATACGATATACTTAATTCAAATCATATTCAATGATTATCAATACGAGTTTTCTCTCATTGGAAATGAAGGGGATCTGGATGAAGTTGATGATGAACCTACAATACGACCAGATTTTGCACTACAACGCGAAAAAAAGGGTCGCCCATGATCAATCAGGATTTACTGTGACGAGGATTTGGTCGAATATCAATAAAGAATTGGATAGCTGAAGCTATACACTATCCGTAGGAATCCTAAACACATGAAGAACAAATGTCCTAATCGATCAATTAAGTAATGTTTTAAAAACTTTATTATAATGTTTTGTATGTGCCAATCATTGCCTCAATTGAAACATAAGTACCAATATTACAACTCTAATCTTGTTCTTCATGCATAAAACCAAGCTTTGAAACCATTTTGAACACGATTTTTATCCCACTTACAATGTCTTGTATGTGTTGATATTACCCTTAATTGATAGATAAGTTATAATACTACACATCTAATCTTATAAATTACTAAAATTTTCATATTAACTACCCGAAAATACCCCTCAAATATGTCTATCAAACCATTTTAGTTTTTTCTTCATATGCAAAACAAGCTTTGGAATCATTTTCAACGCTATTTTTAATCCGCTTACAGTATCTCGTTTGTGTTGATATTGGCCTCAACTGAAAGATAAATTCCAATATTACGCCTCTAATATCATAAATTACGAAAATTTTTAGATTAACTACCCGAAAATACCATTCGAACTTACCTATAAACACTTACGGTTTGGGCTGTAAATCTATATAACTCGCGTTCTACAGAACTTGAAGACTATTAAATACGACATGCTATAAATTGCTGAGAAATTTTAATATATCGAGAACTTCGCGTTACGCAGAACGCGAGGTCTTTTCTTTTTGTGAAATATTAAATTGTGTTCTCCAAAAAGTTTCTACATTGGAGGAGTCTCGTGCCTTATGGCACATGAGACCTTGACACGCGTTTTGTAGGATACGAGATAGTCTTACGTGTGCAGTTTGGACGTATTTTTTTCAATTAATACTATTTAGGGTTTCTATTCCAATAAATAATTTTTGAGATTTTTTTATATAATATCGCCTTAAAACTCAAACTCGAATTTTCTTAAAGAATCTAATATTTTATTATTGTGTCTAACATTTATTAGTGAAATCTTGTTAATTTTATAATGTTACAATTTATTTTTACATTATTTGAGTTCAAATAACCAATAGTTGGATATAGCGATGAACGTGTATTTGTTGTGCATATAAAGTTTTGAATCGATTTGATGTCTTTATTGTATCGATTAGGAGTATTATAACTTTGAATAATCAACTTAATGGAATCTAGTTAATCAAAGATCATTGATTAAGGCAGTTGGATTATTTTTTAAGAGTGTGTGTCTATTAATTGTAAACTATCTGTAATAATATATATGAGTACAAATTTAGATAACTTCTTGAATTTTAAAAATTACTTTTTAGTAGTTATTTAATAGATTGATATAAGAATATTTTGTTTTCATTGTTAGATTTGAGCATTAGAAAAGAAATTTGTTAAGCTTGAATCACACTTGGTTAACTATGGTTGACTTGCCTTTATCCATAAGGCACATTTATCCATGAAATACATGCATGACGAGTGTTACAAGTTATGAAGATAGTAAACGAAAATTATAACAAAAGGCTGAAAAAAAATCTTAAAAACGCTTAAATTATGTTTCAAGTCCTTGTATAAAAGTAGATTTTAAATTTAGTCCTCTTTTGTTTTTAAGAATTGAACCCTCTATTTTTCATATTTTAAAATTCAAGTTCAATCGATTAAGCCATTAAAATTCTTCTTCGAATTCATACATGTGACACTCTAAAAGCAATAATACTAACTTGATATTTGTACAGTAAAAAAAGACGACGTTGTAATGGATCTGAATTAAACAATATAATATTAACAACAAGATTTAAATTTTTAAATCTGAAAAGTAGAAGGATTAAATTTCAAATATAAAAAGAATACATGGAGTTGGAACATATTTTAACTATTTTCTCTTTTTTAATGATTTTGAAGCATTTTCATCGATTTTATTTTGATAATTGTTATGCTCGGGGTTACCATAAATCATGATTTATCTCTTGTGCAGTATGGAAAGGATCCTTGAGCGGTATGAAAGATATTCTTATGCAGAGAGGCAACTTGCTGCAAAAGAAATTGAACAAAATGTAAACCCCAAACCACTTTATTTGACAATTTCCCATTTCCAGGAAAGTTTCAGAGATGGGGGAATCCAGGGGTTTTATTACAGGATAGCCCTTCTAATAATTTTATAATTCCGTTTAAGTTTTTTTACTAGAAAATTTGTCTTTGTCCCCATTCCCCCCCAGTTTCCTGCATTCATCCTTATAAATGCCGATTATGTTGGATGACATTCATTGATTCCAATCTTCATTTTCCTTGAATTATTCATACTAGATATTCAAGTTGATGCATATTCGAATATAAGTATAAGAATATGATCTTTTACAGACCCTTCGAAACATATTCGAATTTAACATGTATCCGTCAATTACACAAAAGTGTTGTGTTCCATTTTACCTTGTGATAAATTTCAATGTGTTTTATAGGGAAATTGGACTTTGGAACAAGCAAAACTCAAAGCCAGGATGGAGGTTTTAGAAAGAAACCAAAGGTATGCAGTTGATTCTGAAAACTTAAATGTATTTGGTTATTTTTTGCATTGAAAGCATAAATTAAGTTTATTTGTGTACTTTTTTCAGGTATTATATGGGGGAAGATCTTGAGAATTTGAGTCTTAGACAGCTTCATAACTTGGAGCAAGAGCTTGATTCTTCCCTCAAGCACGTACGTTCGAAAAGGGTAAAATCACTTGGAGGATATACATAAATTGTTTAGGGTAAACTACATGTTTAATATATAAACTATTACTTTTATTCTATTTTAGTAGCTTAACTTTATTTTTTTAAAATCATGCCTAACGTTTAGTTTAAGTTTTATTTTGGTATTCCGCCGTTAAAAACTTAATGGTGATGTTGACATGTCATCATAAAGTAATTTCATGTCATCATTGATAAAAAAATTAAAAAGGTCACATCAGTAATTCTGTTAATTTTTTAACGGTAGGTATCAAATTGAAACCTAAACTAAGTGTTAGGCATGGTTTTGAGAAAAAAATAAAGTTTGGTACCAAAATGGATTAAAAATAATACTTTAGGTACTAAATGTATAGTTTACCCAATTGTTTAATAGCATTTGTTTCTGCAATCATTTGGCCATGACAATTTTTCACTTGCAGAATCAGCTCATGCTTGAATCAATTTCTGAGCTTCAGAAAAAGGTATGCCTTTCCAGTTACTACCACTGGCTTAATGTTAAGGAGAAAGTTTGTTGCTTTGGTGGTTGCATGAATCAACTGAGCTGATTTTTGTATAGATTCTCCTATTGATAATTTAATTTCACATCGTCTTAAAGTTTGTAATTTCGCACCCCTTAAATTTAGAATATATATATTTAAGTTTATACTCTTGACATAAAATCTTGTATTCCATCTCCGAGTAGAGATTGCCTGATATCTTTCGGTATGCAGAACAAAACATTGCAAGAGCAGAATAATATCCTAGCAAAGAAGGTAAACAGTAAATCCAATATCCACAAATGTTGATTCAATGATCTCGTTTCTGAAATTGTGAAATGATTTGTACTAAAATGTTGTCGAGCCAAATACAGATAAGGGAGGAGGAGAAGGCCATTGTCCAGCAGGCACAACAAAATAACTCCCAAGATTCTTCCTCCATGCTTCTCCCACAACCGATGCAGTCCGTGAACATCAGGTTTCTCCATCTTATTCTTATTCCGATTATGATGCGAGTGTTCGATAAAAAAATGCAGGGTTGGCTAAATTGGTTAAACTTAATGTCGGATCTAAAAATATTTTTGAGAGTATGTACAGAGATAGAAGTATAGAACCAGGTTTGAATCATGAGGGAACAAATTGTTTAGCTTTAAAATAAATAGGATCCTAAAAAATAATTAAACCATAAAAATTAAGAGATGAAAGATTTAATTTCACTAAATTTAAAATTTAAAGATCTTGAAAAATAAGTAAACCACATAAAATTGGGGTAAAGGTTTAATTCCATTAATTTTTAAAATTGACAATGTCCTTAAAACAATTATACCAAAAATTTTGGGAGGTGCAAGAACTTAACTATAATGATTTCAAAACTATAGTGACATCACCTCTCCCACCTATAACGTACATCTAGGGACGGAGCTTCCTTGGGGCACAAGGGCTCCGACTTTGTTAAAATTTATATATTCAATATAATTTTGGTTTAATAGTATTTTAATTCCTGTAAATTTAATTTTTTAAAATTTTAAAATATAAAAAATTATTAAATATTTAATCAAGTAGGGGTCAAACTAAATAATAATAAGTCTGTGTTCTCAAATTTTTGGTCTAATTACAATTTAACTTATTGTAAGTTTAAATATTAGACAGATTATAAGTTGTCATTTGAGTTTTGAGTTTTTTTTTTTAATTTATGGTGAATACAAGGTAATATATGTACAAAGACTTTTAACTATTTGACAATTAATGCTCATATCTCTACATATGTGCTTGAACTTGGGACTTCAAGAATAACAACAATCTCTTAATCACTAAGTTCGCTTGGTTCGTGTTGAATTTCGAATTTAAATACCTAATAAGTGTTTACATTTCTCTTAAATAGTATAATATTTCGCCCCCTGTCAATATTTAATTATGGCTCGTCTTTGTTTATATCTTTTCCTAAGTAAGCATATATTTAAAATTGCTCCTCCCTCCTATAACTTACATCTTGTAGGCATATATGTATTAATAAATTTGTTTTTTTATGTAGGTAGAGATATACAAAATCTTATGACAGACACAATCAATAAAATAGATAACTAACATAATAAAACTCGAAAACACCAACGTTAAACTACACTTACATCAGTCATTGTGCAGAGGCACGTATGAAGCGAGCAATGGGAGAGATGAGGAAGCTAATCCTGGTGCAGCACAACATCCCAACTCCAATGTGCTATTGCCGCCATGGATGATCGCTCGTCTTGAATGACGAAAACAAGTAAAAAAAAATACTTTCTTTAGTATGCAAACTTTACACGTTAATATATTTTTATATGCATGTATGTATATTTTATTATAAATGCACGCATGGCACAAACTCATGTGTGACCTGTATCTGTGTAATCCAGTTATGTAATTACAAAGAAGTGTTTTTGAAAATTTATTTTATAGATCCTATTAATTACTTAGATTAGTCGTATTCTTAACCAGTAAAAATTATATAAATTAGCTCGTTCATTTTTGTATATAGGTCACTCGTAGGATTTTGAGTAATCTATGGTGATTAAAAGATAATATTTATTTGTAATCGTTTTTAATAATCGATAATATATGTTGGTAAAATAGACTGTTACAAAACGAGGCATTAGCATTGACTGGAAAATATATACTGAAATATATAAATAAAAAACTGATTAATCGTGTTGTGGTATTGACCACTGCGTTAGAAACGAATTCGCCCTGATGTGTGTAATCACTCCAATAGGTGGATCGTCCCCCGAGGTTAACACGGTCGCTCGAAATCGGAGTGGACTGCTGGTGGCATTGCACTTCTGATCGGAAAACACAAAGAGAACAACTTTAGAAAACATTTGGAGAGTGAATTCTAATTATAGAGTGTGAGTTCAGAAGCTGAATTCAATTATCTATTTATAGGCTATAAGTAAGGATAAATCTGTCCAACAAGAAAATCAAATTAAATTTGATTTTAATTCTGAATTTAAACCCTTTTTTTAACTCATCTTGATGAATCCGGCTCAAAAAGAGTCCAGGTTCATTGCATAAAATCTCAGTAGTTATAACTCCTGAAATTAAATCAAATAACATCTTAAGTTCTGATTTAATTTAGTAAAGCAATTGTTTAATTTATTTAATTTCAGATAACTAATAATCAGCTGTTATCATCTGAAATATTCGAACTTTAACAGTCTCAGTAGCCTATAAATATCAGATGAATCTTTTACATTTTTCATTTAATCTTTCAGAGAAAAATTCCTTAAGAATTTTCTCTAAAAATATAGTATCCGTGCGGACGTGTCAAAGACACATATTATCACACATTGTTCTCTATCACTCAACAAGGGAATGGAGAATGTGAACCTTAAATACCATTCCCACTAGAGTTTCCAACTCTATATGGGATTGAGCATTACCAACATTCCCCCACTAATGCGAAAGAATTCTTCTGAAACTTGAAAAACAATCTTTCCAGAAGAGCAATAGCGAGATTAGTTGCTTAAGCACTAGTGAACGTATCTGGAACTAGTACATAGTGATGATGAGCAATCATTCTCTTAGATAAGTGAAACTAGTCTTGAACTTTCTAAGATGGGGGTAAACTCATAACACACAACTAACCCCTTCATCCACCTGGGTCCTTGATGTGTAAGATATAGATATATACAAAAGTATATATTTGGTCATCTTACCTCAGGATTCTAGTAAGTGTGCTAGAAAAAAGACCCACATTTTTCATAGAAGGTGGTTAACCATTCTCACTTATATAGGTTATTTCATCAAATTTATCTCGACATAACCACCCTTAACAGGGATATATAAAATAATTAAGAGCTTTTATAATAGTTCAACCTCACAAAGGGTATGGTGACTTTCTTCAAGTTCATTATTAATGAAACACCCAAACTCTGGGATAAGAAGCATTAAGAATAAATATTCAACCTCATTAATCGGTAAATTTAATAAGTCATTTTCACTAGAACCATCTAAATTCTTGGATTTGAATTTATTAATGTTTAACAAACTCAACCTTTCTATCGGTAAGTTCATTATTTCCTTCTCGTTTAGGACTACCCACTCACTCTGGGTTATGAACTTATTAAGAATAGATATTTAACCAAAATCGATAAATTCATCAAGTCTTTCTCACTAAGACTACCCAAGGCCTGGGCTATGAATTTATTAAGAGTAATTAAGATCATCCTGGGTATGTACATTATTCATTATAGGGATAGGCAGTAGGAATGTGCACTATGAGTCTTTTCATGGTTTCGTTTGACCGCATTGAACTTAGGCAACTAAGTTGGGTATCCACCATGAATTTCTCAATCAATGAGCTTTAGGCCTATCCCCCTCAACGAATTTAGGACCAGCTTCCTACTTAACCCTTTGGTAAGTGGATCTGCTATGTTCCTTTTCGACTTCACATACTATAAAGAGATCACTTCATTCTTTATTAAGTGTCTAACTGATTCATGTCTTATGTGAATGTGTCTTTTCTTACCATTGTAAGCTTGGTTCTTAGCCACATATATCGCAGCTTGTGAATCACACAACAAGGAAACTAGAGGAGTTGGTCTTCCCCACAATGGAATATCTGCTAACAAGCTTATAAGCCACTTGGCTTCTTTCCTAGATAGGTCAAGAGCTATAAACTCTGACTCCATGGTAGAACGAGCAATACAAGTCTGCTTTGATGATTTCCACGAGATTGCTGCTCCACTTAAAGTAAAAACATACCCACTTGTAGAGCTTACCTCATTATTATCAGAAACTCAGTTGGTATCACAATATCCTTTTAGTACCACAGGATAGCCAACAAACTCAAGTTTCCAATCCAAAGTACCCTTAAGATACTTCAGTAAGCGTCTAAGAGCAATCCAGTGTTCACCACTCGGATTATGAGTATATCTACTTAGTCTACTCACAACATAAGCAATATTAGGCCGAGTATAATTCATTAAGAACATTAAACTTCTGATTAATTTAGCATATTCTGTTTGGGAAACACTACTTCCTTTATTCTTAAAGAGATATATGCTTAACACTTTCTTTAACACTTTCTCAAGATAGTGTGCTTGACATAAAGAAAATCTCTTTTAAGTTTTGGTAATTTTGACTCCTAAGATTACATTAACTTCTTCCAAATCTGTTATCTCAAATTTAGTGGACAAGAAACTGTTTGTTTTCTTAATGGACTCAATTTTAGAACTGAAAATCAGCATGTCATCAACATACAAAACTTATGATGACGCAATCAGTACCAAACATCCTCGAATACATACAAGCATCCGAACCATTCACAACAAAACCAAAACTATGTTTAGTTTTATGAAATTTCTTGTACCATTGTTCCCATATAGATCTCCTCATCTAGATCTCCATTTAGAAATGCAGTCTTAACATCCATTTGATGTACTTGCAACTTATGAATGGAGGCTAGTGCAAATAATGCACGGATCATTGAGATGATCATAACGGGGAAGTAAGAATCCAACTAGTCTAAAACAAACTTTTGAGTGAACCCTTCGACAACTAGCCTTGCCTTGCACCACTAGATCAAACCATCTGGTCTCATTTTCTTTTGGAAGATTCATTTGCTACAAATTGGTTTAAATCCTCTAGTCAAGTCAACTAATTCCCAAGTATGATTAGATATTATCGATTCTAATTCATCATTAATATCTCTTTTCTAGAAACTAGCATCGATAGATCTTACAGTTTTTTTAGGATCCTCATATAATATTTAAGCTATATGATCAGAAAGAGAGTCTAAATCATTTATCTCAGAAATAAAGGAAGTGATAAAATTTGGTCCAAATAGCCTTTTACTTCTTCTAGGCTCGAAATGAATTTCTTAAGAAGACCTAGCATAAATACTAGAAGAAGTGGATAGAATATTTTTTATTTGAGTTTCTGAATTTAATCTACATTTTAAGAAACCCCCATATTTCTAACATTTAAGGATATCCATAAGTGTCTTGTAAAACGTATAAACAAATACTCAATCATACTAGAGTAAAGTTTGTTTACACGTTTTGGGTTTCACAGATGATTTGAGTTTCTTCGTTTCTATTTCACGCCAAGCGCTTCGACACATTGAGTAGACAAGGTAGACAATGTCCATGCCAAGCGCTCTAATGTGTGGAGTAGGCAGGGTGATCTGGCCATATACCAAGCGCTCTACCGTGTGTTGTAGGCAGGGTGAAATAGTTTGGCAAATGCACAGGAGTACCATCTTAATGATTGAAGTAAAGAGGTGCTCATCTCGTGGACTAAGGCATGTTGATACTTGGACCTGTTTATTGTACAGCGATGCACTTTTGCTAAACTTAGCACAGAGGTGGTTGGTTGTCGATTACAACACAGAGGTGCTCGATCACTTGTAAAAGCACGGAGGTGCTTGATTTTAGATTGTAGCACAGATGTGCTCAATCATCTTAATACACAGAGGTGCTCAATCAATCTTAGCTGCATAGAGATGCTCAATCAATCTTAGCTGCACATAGGTGCTCAATCAATCTTAGCTACACAGAGGTATCATTTCTAGATTGAAGCACAGAGGTGCTCAATCAGTTTTAGCTATACAGAGGTGTCAGCTCTCGGCTGAAGTACATAGGTGCTCAGTCATTTTTAACTGCACAGAGGTGTCAGTTCTCGGTTGAAGCACAAAGGTGCTCAATCCGTTTTAGCTACACAGAGGTGTTAGCTTTCGATTTATGCACAGAGGTGCTCAATCGCTAATTCAGGCACAGAGCTGCTTGAATTCAGCACATCGGTGCTCTTTTCCTATCTAATTTGGGCACGATGGTGCTTATTTGTGTTGCAAGCATAAAAGTTCTAACAAATTAAAGCGAATGGTTCACACATTTATGGTGGATCAACAAGCTCTCACAGAGGTGTAGAGCAAAAAGCAACCGAGCCGTTTGTACAAGAAACTGGTTCTGTTGAGTGACGAAAGCTAGAAGAGATCGAAGCCGTGCTAGTGACTCTTCTCCTTTTTTTTTTAGGTACGATAGTGCCTCATTTGTGGTGCAGGTATAGAGGTGTTTACAAACTAGTAGGAATGGTTCGTATGTGTAATGATGGGTCAACAAGCTCTCACAGATGTGAGAAGCAAGGAGTTATAATTCCTGTCATACATGAGACGAGTTATACGGATTTCGAAAGTCAGATGAGTTGAAAACTAAACAAGCGGTCGGTATAACGCATATGATATCAGATGATCAAATAATGAGAGTCGAGGAGACTCAAGAGGGATCAGCGGAGTCACTGATTGGACCAGGGAACGAGGTGAGAGATGCCATATGTGTCATATAGTTTGTGTTTGAGGTGCTGAAGGCTCAAGTTAGAGTGGGCTTCAAGCAACTATAGCTTGTTTGACTGCGAACCCTGTGAAATATGGGCGTATGAGCAAAGATCCCTGATCCCCAACGATTG